TAAGTGTTTATTATACTCCACATCGGTGCCAGGTGTTTGCTGCTGGCCAGGGGTAGATGGAAGAGTGTGTCAAGGTCCCCTCTCCGTCCTATCTGTAGTCCAGGGGTATCCTTCCCCAAATCCATAGGTTGCAGTTCTACACCCCAAAACTTGAGCAAGAGGTCTTATTTGGAACCCCGATTCGTGCAGGTGTAATTAGTTGTAGAAGCTACGGTGGGCATCAGTCCAGGGGGATGTGGGCACACAGACACGCACACAGGGAGGACACTATTTAGTGATGAAAGCTGAGACCAGAGTGAGCTTCTGCAAGCCCAGGACACTGCAAGCTGCCACCAGATCCCTGCCAGTGGATCCCTGGAAGCCAGGGTAGGGGCCGGCAGAGGCGGGGCCAGAAAGGGGAGGGGCATGGAGCAGATTCTCCAAAGGCCTCCTCTTGGACTTCCAGGCAATAAATTCCTGCCATTTAAGCCAAGCAGTTGGTGGTTCCTTGCTACAGCAGCCCTAACAGGCTAGTGCAAAGGGGAGGCAGAGAGGAAGTAGTCACATGTTGCTGTCGAATTCCAAGCTCAGAGAAATGTCCCGGAGGCACAGGACCTCACTCTGTGCAAGGGAAAGCCAGAGCACCCTGGCCAAGTCTGGAGTGGGGGGCTGGCCCTCCTGAGGAAGTGAGGGCTGATGGAGGCGCAGGAGTCAGTTGGGGGCGGAAGAGGGGGGAACAGCAGAGGCTAAGGCCCTTAGGGAGGAAGGAACCTTGTGGGAATGGAGAGAAGTCCATGTGGCAGAGGAGGACGGGAGAGGGGATGATGGGGGGGTGGCCCTGGACCGGAGCTCCCCCAAACCCAGCACAACGCTGACTGCACCACATTCACTTAGACTACCGAGGGTGCCCACCTTGCTTTCTGCCTTCACTGCCTGGACAGGTAGGCCCCGCTGCAACTGCCTCTTCTGTTTCCCGTCCCGCCCACTGAGCCGTCCATCAGCCGATCCTGTCCTAAAGGCAGCAGGAGACATGTTGAGATATTCTAAAGCAGGTAAATGGGATTCTGAGTGGCTGTGCCCCAGTCCTGCAGATGACGTGGCTGGACCACTGGTCACTGACGTGTGTTACTGCTATGCACCTGCTGCAGCCCGCACCCCCGCAGCCTCTGTGGCGGTTCCTGTGAGGTGCAGAGCAATGGCTGCTGACAGGCCATTGTTTTGTGAAGAGGGTCTTGTCTGAGCCCTAAGTAGGGGCTTTTCCCCTGGTTGCCAGGTGAGGGACACGGTGGTGGGTGGTGATGGAGGGACCTGCCCAGGGTCCCTCACTGTCACGTACATCCTGTTCGCTGCCCTCAGCCTGTCCGGGCCCCACTGCTTCCCAAGTAAATGCTGAATTTGTCACACTTGTCAAACGCCGCTCCTCAAAGATGCCCCAGGACTGGTTGCTGCGTGATTGCTTCTGTCTGCGTTGCGTCTCTTAGCGCCAGGTGCTCGCTGTGCACAGCCTGCAGAGCCAGGCAGAACGTGCCTTGCCCAGTGAAGCTTCTGTCAGATCGCAACATTTGTAATTTTTCTTATTTTAAAATAAGGCATCAGATGGTCTCAAAGCATTAAGATCGCCCTACTGAGAATATCCTTCCACTCACCTGCAAAATGGAAATACCCTGCTTACGTCAGAGGAGCATTCCGAAGCTAGACTTAGAACTCCAGAGGAGGGCCTTCAGCTCCGTGTCCTGGAGCTCCAGCTCAGACTCGTGGGGGTCGTGCAGGTGCATTAGCAGGGAGCTGGATGGGAAGTGGAGCAGCCAGGAATTGAACTTTACCCGCTGTGCCACAGCACTGGCCCCTAAGCTTATCTTTCAGTTCCATTTTCCACAAATGTTTTGAAGTCCCCTTGTGCATACCTGCAGTCCTTTTAGAAGCCTATCACGTGACTGCAATAATAGTTACCTTGCTAAATATACCAACAGCAGACACATGCAGTAGACGGTCTTTTGAGTGTCCTACAATGTGTTTTATGGATACCCTGGAAAATCAGCCTCAAAAGGAAGCTTTCTAGCCAAGCATTTGGGGAGCTCTGGGAGTGTATGTGGGCTGCCCTGCCCCTGCTGTGATGGGCTCACATCGGCCTTAAGCCCCAGCAAGGCCACTGGACTAGGTAAAGGCATCCTGAGTGCAGTTGTGGTGTAGTTCATTTTGGATCGAACAGGAAAGAATCTCCCTCGAATTCTCTTTAGAGCAGTAGGGAAAGAGTGATGGGGCGAGGGCCAGGGATGTTGGCAGGATAGAAGGGAAGAAAATAGGAAAACGTCTGATCCTGCAGCCTCTCCATTGCAGGTCTCTGAGAGGACACGTGTCATGACAGCGGTCCCTCCTTCCTTGCTCCTGGGGCTGCCCGCTCCTGGGTTAGTCCAAGGAGGCCTGAAGTACCCCAACCCCGAGACAGGGACGATGGCCAGCTGTCCCTAGGTAGCTGTGTTTGCAGAAGGCCCCCAGCAGTGGCCAGAGCAGGTCCAGGACTACAGGAGGCTGTGTGCCACTGCTGCAACATGAGCACCGGGAACAGCCAGGGGCCCAGGGACAGCCACACCAGTCCCCATGTGAGACAGTGGCTGTCTGGTGGCTGTGCCCAGGCCAGGCTGGGGAGGGGTGGGGGCCTTGGTGACTTTCCCTCCTTTACACAGAGGTGCTTCCGTGTGATCGTTAGCTCTGTGAATGCAAGTGGGGGCCTGGAGGACCAGGCAGACAATACAGCCGGAGCCGGAGACCATGAAGCCCACTGGGCTGGAAACCCAGACAACGGGGCTGGGGCAGGCGAGGGGGGAGCGGATATGATAGCCAGGAAGGAGTTCCAATGTGAATGAATACTAATTAGTGACATGGATATTAATGATGACAGTAATTAACAGGGGAAAGGAAGGGCTGTCATTGTCCCAGGGTGGGTAATCAATCTTGGCAGGTGATAAATAATGGTTTAGCAAGCTCAGCAGAAAGATAATCCGCCAGCCCCAGGGAGCACCGAGCCAGGCTGGAATGCTCGCAGTTTCTAGGCAACCCGCGCGGAGGAACTATTTTTCTTTTGAGGAAAAAACAGGTTAAAAGAGCCTCTCCCCCACCCCCACCTCGGGATTACAGTTCTTGTTTGATTGCTGCTTTGTTCTTCGTTTCCTAGGACAAATGTTGAACTTGTGTAATTTGGAAGAAATGGGCATGCTTGCTCACACACACACACACACACAGAGAGACACACACACACTCCATGAATACGAATGCAATGGTTTTGATCCAGGAGCAGGCGTGGCGGGGATGCTGCCCAGTCTTGCTTTCGAGGTTGAAATGTGGGGAAATGGAGTTGTCAGTGGCCAGGGCAACTGGGCAGTGGGCCGGGGCTCGGGGAGTCCTGGATAAACCAGAGCCTTCCGCAGATCCAGAGAGAAACAGAGAGCGTGACCCTGGCCCACACCAGCCCCGCTTCTGAGAAATTTCCTTTCTGGGAACAGGGCTTTGCTCATTAAGCCTCTGCTGGTTCTCCAGTCCTCGTCCTGGGGACCTGGCGCTGGAGAGCTCCTGGCCGGCCCTGCCCCTCAGCCGGGAGCCTCAGACCCAGGAGGGGACATGGATGTCTAGAAATGGCTCCCTTCAGAGCCTGTCACCCAACAGCCATTCCACGCTGAGGTGACAGATCCTCCTTGGATGGTCTGCCCTGGCTTAAGGCAAGATCGTTGAGGGGGTCAAAGCAAATTGGCCGCAGTTCAGAATCTATCAGAAAACCGGCCTCCTTTTCTCGCGTGTGAGCTGTGCTGATTCCATGGGCTACGTTTCCAACAGGAGGCCAAGGGAGCACGCTGGGAGGATTGTGACCACGGTCATGTCACATAGGGAGTCACTGAGGGCCCAGCCCCACTCCACCTGCTTTGAGGATGTGGCAGGTACAATGGGAGAGAGCGTGCAGGTATCCGAAGGTCTCCCTCGCAGGGAAGTTAGACCTGGGTTGATTTGCCTGTCGTCAGAGGGCAAAACCGAGGCCCAAAAGGAGGAAGTCGGAGGGGGACAAGTGCGTGTTGGGAGAAATGAAAGGCAACTGAACTGAGACAGGCTGGTGGGGCCTTTGTGGGTTTCTCTGGACACAGCTCACAGGCACCGTGGACGGCGCTCCGGTGTGGACTAGGGTTAGCATAAAGAAGCTTTTACAAGCCCCTTCTGAGTCTTCAGATTATACATTCGGGGAGGTAATTGATGCTAGATCCCAAAACAGGTAAGCCCCAGATTTTAGGAGCATAGCACAGTGAAATGTCTCTCTCAGTCCAGAGTCAGAGCCCTGAACGGGCATTACTTTTCATGGTTAGAGCTATGACTCCTCCCATCTCCTCCAGGTTCCTGGAGTCCAGTCCACCAGTGACTGGGGGTGTGAGGTGGTAGGCGGGGGGAGGGCCACATGGGACATTTCATGGGCTCTGTCTGGAAGTGGCACATACCATTTCTCAGTCCACACTGCAGGGGACTCCAGGGAGGATTTAGCTGTGGCCCACTGGGATGAGGAGAGAGGTTCTGGGAAACACAGAGAAGTTCAGCCGTGGACCCAGGGCCACGTTCATTCTGCACAGGCCAAGCCGGAAGACAGGAGAGAGTTTGTCAGGAACCTGTGCAGTCACCTGCCGGGGTCAGTCCTTGTCAGGAAGGGAGGGGAGGTGATGAGAGCTCCTTCTTTGGGAAGTGGGCTAAGCACCAGGCCACAATCAAACTTTTCCCAGCCAAGCCCTGGAAATCTCTGTTCTTGGGAAATCCCTTCAAAGAGCTCGTTACCAATGTGGGTGTCAGTGCACCTGCGCCGTGGGAAGTGAACGGGTGTTTGGGAAAGGGTGGAATCGGGCTATGAAAGTCTGGGGTGGGGGGAGGCTCGGTGAGGATGGAGGCGTCAGAGTGGCCGACTGCCTGGCTGTGTCCTGGATGCTAAACGTGGTTTTCTGCCACCGGATTAAACCTCCATGAGGGCTTCCGCTGAAACTGCTTTCTCGTTCCAGGTACGGACATTGTGCAGTGGCTTATGAAGAACCTTTCCATTGAAGACCCAGGTACTTGACCTTTGACCCTTGACCCTCACTGACCCCCAGCTTGATCAGGGCAGGAATCCCATAACCGAATTCCAAACTGGATTTTCCTGCTGTCCTGAGAACTGGGCTTATCATTGCGAATCCCAAGATGTGGAGTCACTCTATTTACAAATAAAATTAATTTCTTTTCCTCCACTGAATCTCTCTCTTCAAATTTAAACCGCCCTTTGAGGAAATGAGCGACTATTTAGAATGCCAAAGAGGCCCATACACCCCCGTGTGAAATGAGATGAGTTCCCGGTAGCTGTGGCAATTAAAGATAAGTTGTGGCACCATCATTGAAAAGCCGTGGAGAGCCAGCTCGCACAATCACATTGCCTGATCCACAATTAAGATGTTTAATTATTTGCTAAGACGCTGTCTGTTTCCTGCTTTTGCAAAAAGTGAAGGAATGACTTTTCCCCGACTTTAATTGTGCATTTCAATTAGGACAAACCTTACCAGAAAAACAGCAACACACGCTGGCCAGTAACACAGGCTCTGAATCTGTCCTCCCACCTGAAAATAAGCAGTACAATTTATTCTCAGTGTAATTAGGAAATGGGGGAGGGTGTCCAGAAAAATGAAAATTTTAGATGCGTCAATCTTATTATCCATGAGCCATGGATGGACACTTCTCTGGATGTATTGTCCACTCCACTGTCTCACGTAACCAAGGACTCCTGATCCCTGATGACATTTCTAAAGATCCACTAATGTACTCTGCTGTTCTTGATGGGAACATTGAGGTAATTAGATGTATTTGCTCCAAATTAAATGGCCCCCCACTGTGCGGCTTTTCAGGATTTTTTTCGTGCAGTGCCTGCTCCTCTGTGTGCCTGCCCTTCAGCTGTAGCTCCTTTCTGGGACCAGTGTGTCAGCCTGGCCACGACTATAGTTTAGCCTGACAGTCCTAATCTGCTGCTGACTGTGAAACAATACAATTTACATACAGTTCAATTAAGCAGAGTCGCTGGAAATCTGAGTGCCAGAAAATCAGGTCATTCATGGAAGTGACCGTCACCTTTGTCTCTGCCTTGATTAAGGGCCTCTCACAACAGGGTGCACTTCTTAATTGTAGTCAAGTCTTAAGTCACAGGGAAAGAAAATACAAATGCTAACCCTTTCAAGGGACAGGACCTGGATCAACTACCTCTGTGGTCCTGCTGTGCAGTCTGGACTTCTGATCATGCACTTCTTTTTGTTTTTAGTTTTTTTTGTTTGTTTTTATTTTTTTTTATTTTTTGTTTTTCTTTTTGTGATCATGTACTTATAAAACCTGGGCTGGACAAGCAGCTCCCAGTTTGGTTACATTGATGTGAAGTCAACATTTCCTTGGATTATGAGGCCAAACTAAGCCACACTTTTCCTCATGGTGATTTTTTCCTGAGAACCCCAGTTTTTTTTCCCTTCTAAAATAATCATCATACTTCTGACACTATTTATCATCTTCATTATCATCACTACAAGGATATTTCAGAAAGTTCCTGGGAAGCTGAATTAAAAGATATACTTATTGTAGTACAAAAAAATTCTGAAATTCGTGTCACCAACTTTTTTTTTTAATATCTATTCTATTTTATTTATTTGAAAGACTGAGTTACAAAAAGAGGTTGAGACAGAGAGAGAGAGAAAAGTCTTCCATGCATTGGCTCACTCCCCCAAATGACCACAACCACCAGAACTGGGCCAATGGAAAGTCAGGAGCATCTTCCAGGTATCCCATGCAGGTGCAGGACCAAGCACTTGGGCCATCTTCCACTGCTTTCCCAGGCCATAGCAGAGAGCTGGATGGGAAGTGGAGCAACTGGGGCTTGAACCAGCACCCATATGGGATGCTGGCACTGCAGGCCAGAGCTTTAACCCACTGCACCACTGCGCTGGCCTCTTCACCAGCTTTTTGAAAACCCTTGTTATATGCATGGATTTAAGAATGTTTCATGCTAAAAAAATTTATCTTTTTTTAATAATTTTTTGGGAGGCAGATTGACAGAGCTCCCATCCACTGGTTCACTGCCAAATACCACAACACCCAGGACTTGGCCACGCTGAACCTCATCTAAGATCTCCCGTGTGAGTGGCATGGAACTAGCTATATCAGCCATCAATTGTTGCCTCCCAGGGACTGCATTAACAGGAAGCTGGAGCCACAGCTGCATATCAAACCTAAGCACACCAATACAGTGGCATCTTAAGGCCTAGGCCAAATGCCTGCTCCAAGCTAACCTTTTTTTTTTTTAAGAAAAGCCCACTTATTTATATTTATTTGAGAGGCAATATTGTAGAGAGAGAATAGACAGAGAAAGAGCATTATCTTCCATCTGCTGGTTCACCTCCAAAATGCCCACAAATAGCCAGATTTGGGCCAGTGCGAAGCCAAGAACAAGGAACTCTACCCAGGTCTCCCACTTAGGTGTCAGGAGCCCAAGTACTTGGACCATCATCTGCTGTCTCCCAGATGCACTGTTTGCAGAAAACTGGATCAGAAGCAGAGGTGGGATTTGAACCCAGGCACTCTGCTATGGGATGAAGCTTAACCCACTGTGCCACAATATCCACCCCCAGACTCATCTTTATTTTTCTCTCAAAGAAACTTTTTATTTAATGAGTACAGATTTCTTAAGTATAACTTTAGGAATATAGTGATTCTTCCCACCATACCCACCCTCCCACCCCCACTCCTACCCTACCTTTCAATTAAATTTATACACAGAAGACCAACTTTATACTAAGTAAAGATTTCAACAATTTGTACACACACAAACAACTGTTTGAAAACAAGTTTTACAGTTAATTCTCACAAACAACTCATTGAGGACAGAAGTCCTACATGGAGAGTAAGTGCACAGTGACTTTGTTATTAATTTAACATTTAACCCTCTTAAGTATGACGTCATTGATCACCCAAGGTTCTTGGCATGAACTGCCAAGGTTATGGAAGCCTTTTGAATCCACATACTCCATTAGTATTTAGACAAGGCCATAAGTAAAGTGGAAGTTCTCCCCTCCCTTAAAAGAAAAGTGCATCCTTCTTTGATGGCCAATTCTTTCTGCGGGGGTCTCTCTCTCACAGAGATCCTTCACGTAGGATATTTTTTTACCACAATGTCTTGGCTTTCCATGCCTGAAGTGCTCTGACAGGCTTTTCAGCCAGACCAGTATGCCTTAAGGGCTGATTCTGAGATCAGAATGCTATTTAAAGCAATTGTCATTCTATGAGTCTGCTGTGTGAAATGCTCCCCATGTTGGAACATTCTCTGCTTTTTAATTCTATCTATTATTATTACCAGACACTTATCTTATTTATATGATCCCTTTAACACTTAATCCTATCTATATGATCACCTTAACACTTAATATGGTCAATATAACACTTAAAATGGTATTTTTACCACCTAGTTTAATGGGACTTGGGGTCTCATGGCAAGTTTTTAACTGTACCCTTAGATGTAAGTTTGTAGGAATGTATGCAGAACTATGCAGCTTTACAGTTACAAACTTCCTCCTCCCTCTTTTATCCCCATTCTTATTTTTACTTAGATCTATTTTAAATTGACTCTATACATGTATGATTAACTCTAAGTTAAGTAAAGAGTTCAACAAATAGTATGAAGAAAAAAATAACTGTTCCTCGACAGTCAAGACAAGGACTGTTCAAGTCATTGCTTTTCAAAATGTCAATTTCAGTTCTACAGATTTACTTTTAGGTGCTCTATTAGTTCTCACAGATCAGGGAGAACATAAGGTATTTGTCCCTTTAGGACTGGCTTATTTAAGTATGTTTTCCAGATTCATCCATTTTGTTGCAAATGACAGGATTTCTTTTTTTTTTTACTGCTGTGTAGTATTTCATAGTGTACATATCCCATAATATCCCATAATTTATCTAGTCTTCTGTTGATGAGCATTTAGGTTGATTCCATGTCTTAGCTATTGTGAATTGAGTTGCAAAAAACATGGGGGAGCAGATAACTCTTTTATTTAATGATTTCATTTCTCTTGGGTAAATTTCCAGGAGTGGGATGGCTGGGTCATATGGTAGGTCTATATTCAGATTTCTAAAGTATCTTCATACTGTCTTATGTAGTGGTTTTATCAGTTTACATTCCCACCAGCAGTGGATTAGGGTACATTTTTCCCCACATCCTCGCCAGCATTTGTTGTTTATTGATTTCTGTATGTGAGCCATTCTATCTGGGGTAAGATGAAACCTAATTGTGGTTTTGATTTGCATTTGCCTGACAGCTAATGATCCTGAATATTTTTTCATGTGTCTGTTGGCCATTTGGATTTCCTCTTTTGAAAATTGTCTGTTAGTGTCCTTTGCCCATTTCTTAACTGAATTGTTTGTTTTGCTGTTGTGGAGTTTCTTGATCTCTTTATATACTCTGGTTATTAATCCTTTATCAGTTGCATAGTTTGCAAATAATTTCTCCCATTCTGTCAGTAGCATCTTCACTTTCCTGAATGTTTCTTTTACAGTACAGAAGCTTCTCAATTTGATGGAATCCCATTTGTTAATTTTGGCTTTGATTGTCTGTGCGTCTGGGATCTTTCCAAGAATTCTTTGCCTGTGCCAACAACTTGCAGGGTTTCCCCAGTCTCTAATAATTTGATGGTATCAGATTTTAGATTTAGGTCTTTAATCCATTTTGAATGGATTTTTGTATAAGGTGTAAGGTAGGGGTCTTGCTTCATACTTCTGCATGTGGAAATCCAGTTTTCCCAGCACCGTTTGTTGAATAGACTGTCCTTGCTCCAGGAATTGATTTCAGCTCCTTAAGCAAATATAAGTTGGTTATAGATGCTTGGATTGACTTCTGGCATTTCTATTCTGTTCCATTGGTCTATCCATCTGGTTTTGGACCAGTACCAGGCTGTTTTGATTATAACTGCCTTGTAGTATGTCTTGAAATCTGGTATTGTGATGACTCCAACTTTGTTTTGATTGTATAACATTCCTTTAGCCATTTGAGGTTTCCTGTGTTTCCATATGAATTTCAGCATCATTTTTTTATATCTGAGAAGAATCTCTTTGGTATTTTTATTGGTATCGTATTGAATCTGTAAATTTCTTTCAAAAGAATGGACATTTTGATGATATTGATTCTACCAATCCATGAACATGGAGATTTTTCTATATTTTGTATCTTCTTCTGCTTCTTTCTTTGATGTTTTATAATTCTGATCATAGAGATCTTTGACATCCTTGGTTAAGTTTATTCCAAGGTATTTGATTTTTTTGGTAGCTATTGTGAATGTGATTGATTTTAGAAATTCTCAGGTGTTGCATTGTCTGTGTATACAAAGGCTGTTGATTTTTGTGTATTGACTTTTTATCCTTCTACTTTATCATACTCTTTTATGAGTTCCAATAGTCTCTTGGTTGAGTCTTTTAGATCCCCTATATATAGAATCATGTCATTTGCAAATAGGGATAGTTTTATTTCCTCTTTCCCAATTGTATCCCTTTGATTTCATTTTCTTGCTCTGGCTTAAACTTCCAGGACTATATTGAATAGAAATTGTGGGAATGGGCATCCTTGTCTGGTACCGGATCTCAGTGGGAATGCTTCCAACTTTTCCCCATTCAATAGGACACTGGCTGTGGGTTTGTTTTAAATTGCTATGATTGGGTTGAGGAATGTTCCTTCTATACCCAATTTGCTTAGTGTTTTCATCATAAAAAGACATTGTATTTTATCAAATGCTTCCTCTGCATCTATTTAGATAATCATATGGTTTTTGTTCTTCAGTTTGATGTATCACATTGATTGATTTGTGAATATTGAACCATCCCTGCATACCAGGGATAAATCCCACTTGGTCCAGGTGAATGATCTGTCTGATGTGTTGTTAGATTTGATTGGCTAGAATTTTGTTGAGGATTTTTGCGTCTATGTTCATCAGGGAAACTGGTCTGTAGTTCTCCTTCTCTGTTGCATCTTTTTCAGGTTTAGGAATTAAGGTGATGTTGGCTTCATAGAAAGAATTTGGGAGGATTCCCTTCCTTTCAGTTGTTTTGAATAACTTGAGAAAAATTTATTTATTTATTTTTATTTTAAGATTTTTTTGATTTATTTATTTATTTATTTATTTGAAAGTCAGAGTTAAACAGAGAGAAAAGGAGAGGCAGAGAGAGAGAGAGAGGGAGGTCTTCCATCCGCTGGTTCACTCTCTAGTTAGCTGCAATGGCTAGAGTTGTGATGATTTGAAGCCAGGAGCTTCTTCCAGGTCTCTCACATGAGTTCAGGGACCCAAGGGCTTGGGCCATCTTCCACTGCTTTCCCAGGCCATAGCAGAGAGCTGGATCAGAAGTGGAGCAGCCAGGACTTGAACCAGCGCCCATATGGGATGCAGGTAAAGCCACTGCGTACAGTGCCAGCATCCAATATGGGCACAGGTTCAAGAATGTAGTGAGAGCTCTAGTTCTAAGACTGGGGACATGAGAGTCCCCTCCTTACCAGAAAGGAGCAGCTAGAGAAGATGGACCCTCCCTATTGCTGGACCAGTGATTCTTTGAGACATCCGGACTTCTGGAGGCAAGCCGGGCCGTCAGGAAGTGAGGCCGAGAAAACGCCATTCATCCTGACTGCACCAGCCGCAGGCATCCCCCCTCTTCCAGAGGATCCTGGGAGTCTCACTGAGCCAAGCACAAGCCTCTGCTGAACCTCCTGAAAAATTTTCCCGTAAAGGCCAGACAAACGCCTTTTTAAAAGCCACAGCTTATGAAATTGAGAACCACCAGAGAGTCCCAAAGCACTGGTCTCTGTATGTCACTGCCCACTCCACTGTCCTTCCCCCAACTTCCTGAGAAAGCCAAGTTTTACTCAATGTCTGCAGAGAAGAGCAGCCCCCTCTGGTCGCCGTGAGGGCCACTGTGCTGGGACAGGCTCTGGGTGTTCAAAGTCTCCACGGGCAGTGAGGCTTCATTCTGCCTGCTGCTCAGGATGCAATGGGATGAAGCTGGCACCCAAGACCAGGGCCACTCACTGAGAGCTTGTCCTCCCCCAGACACCACGAGGCACCTTAGGTGAAAATCTCACTTCCTGCATTGCAGGTTTCATGCTATTAACCGTCCAGCTACTCGTGCTTCAGGAAGGTGTTGGGAGAGGGGGCGGGCGGTCCAATGTCACACTCTCAGAGCTGAGATCCAGAGGATTCCCAGGCACGTGGTGACCCTTCCCGCCTGCTGGCACCTCCCCTCCCCACCCCTACCTGAGCAGGTGTGGTCGTGTCGTCCACGCCGTCATCCGGGAGTGAGCCACTTGACTTGCACCTGCCTCTCAGCTCTGCCCACTCGTATTTCAGCCCAGGAACCCGTCTGTTCACTGCTCTTCTCTCCCACTCCCTGTCCCTGCAGGTGAAGCCATACACCTGGGGAGCCTCATTGCGGCACAGGGCTACATCTTTCCCATCTCGGACCACGTGCTCACCATGAAGGACGACGGGACTTTTTATCGCTTCCAGGTAGGCCTGCAGGATGCTGCTTCCAAAGGACCTTTTCTTCCCATCGTGATCTGACTGCAGGTTAAAACCACCTGGAGCCACACGGGGAGCTTAGGGAGGCAACGTTCACTCCTTGCCAGCTCTGGGAAGACCAAGAGAACTTTTTTCTGTCGATGCATTGGTTGAGCCATTTAAAAACCAGCCAAGGGCCCTCGTGGAAATCCTGCTGTCGATGGTGCACTCTCTGCTCCTTTTCAGGCTGCTTTAACAGAATGCTGCAAACAGGGGAGCTTACTGACATCAGGCATGTAGTCCTTACAGTTCTGGAGGCAAGTCCAAGGCCAAAACTGGCAGGTCTTGATGCAGGTCTGAGGCTCTGCCTTTGGTTCATGGGCAGTGCCCTCTGTACCCTTGCTGAAGGAGCAGGAGGTCTCCCTCGGTCCTCAGAAATCAGGGTACTCATCCCCTTCGTCAGGGCTCCACCCCCAAGACCTAACCACCTGCCAAAGGCCCCGCCTCCCAATACCATCATCTCTGGATTTTAATTTCTACATGAATTTGAGGTGAGCATGTACATTCACATTCAGACCACAGCAGACACATTGCACTTATCTATTACGCAGAACAAATTTTGCAGGGTGTATATCAACCATTTCCTAGACAAGGAAGTTGGGAATCAGTGTGGCCCTTGGTAAGTCTAGGAGGCAGCCTGGACTAGGGGCCAGGTGAGCCTGGAAACACAGTCCTTGTTCTTCCCACTACATCTCGCTGCCTTCCTGGAGATGTTTCCGTCTGCCACCTCACCGTCTTCCCCGCCCATTTCACCTGGCATCTCCCAGATCCCAACCTACAGGCAGCCAGAGGAGAGGGTCGGGCTGGTGTCAAGCACTAAACCGTAGGGTTTGGGACCAGAAAGTCTTCAAGACAGGGCTCAAGGGAAAAATGGAACTCAGGCTGAAGTGCCCTGCGCCAGCCTGGCTTCAGCAGTTAGACTTCTGTTGTCTGCGATACAAAATTTCTTCTCTACAAAGTTTCTCATTTTCACATGTATGTTGCTGACCTGGGACTGTAGTTCTCAATACCTATAATAGTGTTGACCAGACTCAGCTGTGGCAAAGGACAGGTGAGAGCCGGGTGTGGCGTCAGCAAGGGCTGGGGACTGTCATCGGGGAGGGACCTCGCTGGGTGCAGGTGCCTGAGCCCTGACACCTTGTGCTGTTTTGCAGGCTCCTTACTTCTGGCCTTCGAACTGCTGGGAACCTGAAAACACTGACTATGGTGAGAACTGGAGCCAGGGCCCACGCTTCGGGTTACTCCTGAGCACGCAGACGCCAGGTGCTTCGTGTCTGGGTGACCACAGTACCTGAAAAGGGCTGGGGTACGGGCAGGGGTCTTCACTTTGCTCCGCCATTTCTCCTGTTCCTGACACATAATGAACTCCCCATTCCATTACATTAAAGAAGGACGGAGCATGCGGACAGATGTAGACAATTTGTAGAACACAAATTGTTTCCCCACACGGCTGTGGGGGTCACTGGGAGCTGCATTTGTTGGCACCGTCTAATCAGTGCCACGAGAGAGGCTCACCTATCGCTTAGCCCAGAAAAAAAAAAAAACTGAATTCAAAATGCAAAGTTGCATTTCTACTGAATGAATATCATTTTCACAGCATCATAAGGTCCAAGAATTTTAAGTCAAACCACTCCACGTCAGGGACTTCTTATTTGGTGATCTTACATTTTTAACACGACAGATGCACCTGACGTAAGCAAGTTGGGGAATGAGAGCTGACTCAGGCCAGCGCACAATACACTGGCGTGAGCACGAGTGTGAATGTAGCAGAAAGCGGGCTACTGGCTTCCGGGTTCCGGAATATCACAGGCTGCCATCAGTGACCTTTTCAGACCTAATGGAGAAGGCAGGTTAAGGCAGCTAGTCATTGGCTAGAAGTCTCTTAGTACAGTCAAGCTGTCCAGCACGAGGCTCAGCTGGCCCTGACTTTCCTCTTGGTGGTTCTCTTGCTGATTCTTGCCACTCATCCACTCTTCTGGGGCCATTTCACTTGGCACCGCTGAAGGAGGGTGGCAGTGAAGAGTAGAGATGGGGAAAGGAGGTGATGAGGCCGTGTTTGGGAAGAATGCCAACGGCCCAGAGGTCTTCCCTGGCTGGGGGGGGGGGGGCCTGTCTGTCCACTGCTCCTGTGCATCACCTCCAGACAGACGCTAGAGCTAGCAGCAGCGTGTGCAGGGGAGTAGGACGTGGCTGCTGCCAGTAGAGAGTCTTCAGCCTAGAGCAGGGACATTGCAGTGCAGCGTGAGGAAGCTCCCTGGTTGAAGATGTGTCCGTGCATTCTGGAACCCAGAGCCGGGCCTTCAGAGACTGGTGGGAGGCCACCAGGCAGACAGAGGGACTGGGAGAAGACCTCCAGGCGGAGGGTGCACATGCAGAGGTGGTGGTCTCAGAATGCCTGAGTGAGCAAGAAGAGCTTGGTGAGACACGCAGAGACCGGGCCGCGGAGAACCTTCTTTGCCACCATAAGGAGGCCAGGCTTACGCCTGAGGCCACTGAGGATTCAATGCAGTGCTTTTAGGCACGTGGTCGTATTTGTGATGATCCCGCGGAGTGGACAGCGTTCAGGGTGGGCAGAGTGAGGAGGAGGAGGAGTTGTCGGGATTGGGAGAGAGAAGAGAGGATCCTCATCTGACCCTGACTGGCGGTCGGGTGTCACGACATCCACTAGAAAGCACCTTCTCCCGGGGCTGGCTGGCCGTGTGGGTGGGCAGATGGACAGATGGACAAATGGACGGATGGATGGATGGGAGGTGGGTTGAGTTTATGATTCCACTGCTGGCTTTGTACATATTATACTTTCTCTTCTTCTCTCAGCCATCTATCTCTGTAAGAGGACAATGCAGAATAAAGCAAGACTGGAATTGGCAGATTACGAAGCAGTAAGTCGGATCATTCTGCAGACTTTGTATGGGAAAGAGTACAATCGTATCTCTCTCTGTTTCCCCTTTTCTCCCCCTGTAGTCCCTGTCAGACCCAGGAAGGGGACTCTTTCCCATTCGCCTCCTTTGCTTGCAGCTCCTCTTCACAAATGCAAACATTTGTCTCTTTCTGTGAGTGCCTCTCAGAGCCCAACCATAAAAAAGTAAACAATCAGCTTCTTAAAGGACTTGAACCGTTGTTCCACCACAGAGGACAGAAAGATGGCGAACAAGCATGGAAACACATTCAGCAGCGTTAGCCATTTGGGAAGTGCTGATCAAATCCAGGGTGAGCTACCACCGCACACCTGCTGCAGTGGCTGACATGACAGTCCTGGAAGTCCCAGCGGGCGATGAGGGTGTAGAGCACCTGCTCCCTCCCTGTGTTGTGGGTGGGAGTGCAAAATGGCACGTCTACTCTGGAAAAGGATCTGGCAGTGTCCTGCGAAGTTAGACCTACAGTCAACGTAAAACCGAGCAATGCCATTCCGGTATACCCTAGGGAAATCATAACTCAGGTTCACTCAGAAAACCTGTACACTAATGCTTGTACTGCTTTGTGGTCATGGAAACCATCCAATTCACGTAAACAGGTGTGTGATTAAACTACAGTTTAATGGAGTTCTATGCTGCAGTAAAAAGGAATGGGCTGTTGATACATGCAACCACTTGGATCAGCATTGAAGACACCAGGTTGAACGAAATAAACCAGTCTCCAGCCGGCCATTCCACTGAGCTGACATTCTGGATTAGGCAAAACCATCATGCTGGAAAACAAACCATTGATTACCAGGGGTATGGGTGGGAATAGTATGGTGCTACAGAGCTAGCAGGAGGGAGTTTTGGAGAGTCATAGAACTGCTTTGTATCCTGATGTGGTTGTGGTCAGATGCATCCATACGTGTGTTGAAACTCACACAGTTGTACCAAAAAGGGAGGAGAAGTCAAACTTACAGTATGACATCTGTTAAGATTGCAGCTTTAGCCGGCGCCGCGGCTCACTAGGCTAATCCTCCGCCTTGCGGCGCCGGCACACCGGGTTCTAGTCCCGGTCGGGGCGCCGGATTCTGTCCCGGTTGCCCCTCTTCCAGGCCAGCCCTCTGCTGTGGCCAGGGAGTGCAGTGGAGGATGGCCCAGGTGCTTGGGCCCTGCACCCCATGGGAGACCAGGAAAAGCACCTGGCTCCTGGCTCCTGCCATCAGATCAGCGCGGTGCGCCGGCCGCAGCGCGCCGGCCGCGGCGGCCATTGGAGGGTGAACCAACGGCAAAGGAAGACCTTTCTCTCTGTCTCTCTCTCTCACTGTCCACTCTGCCTGTCAAAAAAAAATAAATAAATAAATAAATTAAAAAAAAAAAAAAAAAAAAGATTGCAGCTTTATACCCACTCCCCTGTACTTGGTAGTAGCGACAGGATCTGAGGGCAAATCTCAACCCAGAAAGGAAGACCGGATGTGGTCACAAGATGTGTCCATCCCCCCAGCTCTCTCAGCCTCTCCTCCTCCACCTTCCTTCCCAAGGGGTAACTCCTTTGCAAAAGTGAGAGCCCACTTCCATGGGACAGAGCCCAGAAAACAAAACACAGAGAGCCTGAAGACTCACAGAGCTTTTAAACCTATTTTTAAATTTTGGTTGCAGAATCTTGCTCCCAAAGTGAACTCTGGAAGGGTCCCCAAGAATCTGGGAAACTGAGTAGACTTTCGCATACCGCCCTCTGCCCCCTCCCCAGGAGCCCTCCAGGCAGGTACTGCTGGGAGGAAGGGCACCGTTAAGGGTGGCAGAGAATCCGCCCTCGGATAGCCTGGCATTCACAGCACCTTCAGACCCACGTGCATCCCAGTGCCTCTGCCACTTTTGCTGCCTGGGTCTCTCAAAACAGGCCTTGCCTTTCCTGCTTCCTGTGCCCAAGCCTACCCAGCCAACCAGACCACGGCTGCGCTCTCCTCAGCCCACAGGTAAATGCCTGTGCTGTTGGAGACAGAGACCTGCGTGGAGCCCTCCTCCCTCTTTGATCCCTTGCACTCCACAAATGGGAGGAAAGCAGACCAGCACGCATTGCAGGAGACTGTCCAGAGCCTCGGACCTGGCCAATGTGCGAGGACCAGATCCTCTGTCAGAAGACTGGGCTCTTCCAGAGCTGCCCTGGCCTGGCTGCTCTGTGGCTCTGAGCGTCCTGAGAGCCCAGCCCTGCTCCTCTGTCTGCCTTGCTGTCCCAGAGTCCCTGTTTCAGAAGATGTGGTTTTACTGTTTGTGCACCCAGAGCAAAGAGCGTTGATGTCACCTGCCCTCCACGAAGCACGTGACTCTCCATCCTGCGTTTCTCTTCCCCACATTTTCCACGTTTTAAAAGAGGTCCTGCATAGACATCAGACAGCTTCAACTCCTGATGTGTGGTTTTTGTTTGTTTTTGTTTTTCGTTTTTTGGGATTTTTTGGCTTTCTCTTCTACAACCTTAAGATTACAGCCTTCAGGCTGAAGTTCTGCATAAAAATGCTTAGAAATTAAAAAGGTGATATTTCCAAAATGTAATTACTTAAAATTTTTTTCTGATGGTGATATATTCTCTTTGTAAGGTAATAGAAATTTAAACTGCAAAGAAAGGAAAGAGAAGAGCCTGGATGTTTGAAACTATAGGTATGAGGGTACTTCAAAAAAGTTGAGGAAAAATGGAATGGAAAGATACATTTATTTTGTTACAAACATTTTTTGAACTCTGTGCATGATTTTTTTCATAATATATGTTTTCCAGGAGAGGTTTTTGATGACCCCCTCACATGTATGTAGTGTTTTCTCCACATGCATTTGATCCTATACAAAAATCCTAGGCTCATCCCATAAACATTATGGTCCTTATGGTGTTGGCTGCTTCTTTCCCCAGTCATCAAATGTAGGTATCTTGGAAATCTCTCCGTAATAATCGTCTCCACTGTCATTTTTGATGGCTGCCTCGTCTTCTGTGCTGCGACAGTCAGTTGACATTGGCTTCCTGTGAGCAGTGGGAGGGGCCAGGCGACGGTGTTCTGGGACTCACGCACCATGCCTCGGCCATAACTGTGGTTTCAGGTTGGAGCGCCTGTTGTATTAATAGCTCACACTTAGTGTTGGCATAAACTCTGAAAATACATAGTGTAAGGAGAGCGGCTCCAACCCTGCATCATCAGAATTAGGGGCTCATTAGGGGACCTGGCAGCCTCCCCTCCTCACTGTCCCAGGTTCTTCCAGGTGACTCTCAGACTTCTCCCCTTTGCTTCTGCAAACCACCCTCAGTCACTTCTTCCTTTCTGTTTCGGGGTTTTGCTTTCATGAACATCACAAACATGGACACTCCCTTTGGGCCACTCCTGATTCTCGGCTCTGTAAAGCACCAATGCCAAGTCCTCCTGCAGCCTTCTCCGCTCCCTGCGAGCTCCAGCTGTGGCGTTGGCTCTCGGAGCTGCCCAACAGATTGCATGTCCTTGGCAAGACCTCTCCTGTAGCCACAAAGCATTCTATTTCCAGTGGTCTTTGTAGCAAGTTCTGTGCGGGCTGTATTCTTCTCAAACATCCAGGTGAGGAATGAGGTGAACCCTACAGGCTCCACACGTAATGGGTGTGCAGAGGAACACGAATAGTTGGGCATTGTACAGCAGAGTCAGGTGCAAAGTCAGATGGGCTCATGTTCAATGGACAAGGGGAGGGCCTGCTCTTGGGAGCAATCAGACTACTGCATTGCAATAAGCCTAGGTGTCGATGTGGTCGTGTGTGATGATGAATGCCTTCTTGTTGATCTCCCTTTCTCACTAGGAAAACTTAGCAAGACTCCAGAGAGCCTTCGCCAGGAAGTGGGAATTCATCTTCATGCAAGCAGAAGCACAAGTCAAGTAGGTCAACTTCATAGAGCCCCTCCGAGAGACAGAGGCAGACTCTCTGGGCCTTGGTGTGCTGTGAGACCAGGATTGCCAAAGTGAGGCTCCGGGCTGGCATTGGCCTCTGCTACCTTGCAGCACGGTGCCTAAATGGAAACTGAGGTCGGGATGGATGAGTTCCAACTTTAGAACCAGCGCTGCCCTGAAAGCATTTCAAACACCTATGCTTCAGCAGCCCAGGTGGGAGACGCGGGTCCTCCTAAATGTGGAACTCTGGTTCCAGAAGGGGTGCGAGGTGCTTCTCTTTCTCCAGCAGACTTCCAGGTCTTCCTCTGTGCTCGGCATCTCGAGAACCTCAGACCACCTCTACCTGCAGGGCTGGGGATTTGGTCTTCATGGGACAGCTTGTTGGAGTTTGAAGGACAAGCAGCCCTCCTCCCATTCTCCCCCACAGGGAGGAGTTTAGAAGCAATTACAAAATGACACACATAAATCATATATTTGGAGTCTAAAATATCAGATTATTACTTTCAATAGAAGCTAGAAACTATGTTATAGGGCAGGCCTCGGCTGTGTGGCCACAGATCTGAATGATACTGTGCTTCTGGGGCAGAGGAGGGTGTCTGGAGACCTCCTCCAGCCGAGCAGAGCCACCCCCTGCACCTCGACTGCACACAGAGGACAGGTAGCCTTGGGGACAGGATGTCCTGAGGGCCGGCCTGGGCCTTCTCAATTTCTTCTTTCAAATCTGCCAGGAAGTTGAGTCATTCTTCCTCCCCCAGAGGAAAGGGGATGAAAGGAAGGAAAAGAGGAGTAGGGTCCTCCCGCTTTGTCCCTCCTGCACACACAGTAGAGATTCCTGCGTTTCCTGGGAACCATGGAGTAAACATCTCCAAGCCCACACACGTGCTTGTCAGATTCATTCAGTTCCAGGAAACGGGATTGCTGGGCTCAGGACTCCTCTGTGCTTTCTAGAAGCACAGCCTGCTTTCGCCAGTCCAGGGGCTGCTATTGGTCTCCCCACAACACACACACACGCTGCAGTTTCTGTCTTCCACAGCCCCTGATGGCGGCCACCTGCTGACTCCCCTGGTGCTCCCAGCAGCACCCGAGGGAAGTGGGCACCAGCACTGGGCTCTGAGCTGCAGCAGGAGGTGTGTGAGGAAGTGGCGAGGGGGAGGGTGTGAACACGGGTGGGAAGGAGGTTGGGGTTCAGTTGGACCGAGGGGCAGTTGTGCCCGTGGACTCCAAAGCCACTGGGAAACAAGAGGAGCACCGACTTGTCTTCTGGAATCAGACAGCGTCAGCTCTAGACAGAGGGAAATTGTCACTTGGTCCGTGGGTGGTATTTCTCCATTAACTTTTTTGATTAACTCTGAGAGTGCAGTGTAAGTGCAGGCCATCTGAGTACACAGTAATTGCCACGAAAATCACGGCGTGATTATGGGTTTATCTCGGTCCAGCCGACTACGCTCTTCCCAGGAGAGATAAGATCCAGAAGTTACATAGCAGTTAATCCGAGTTGCTTCTTACTTAGATAACGTGAGGTAGGACATGCGTTCAGAGCAACAACCAAAAAACCCTCTTCCCAGCGCTGCTGAGGGCGCAGAAAGAACTTTGTCACCTGTAATTTCCCTCCTGCCACTTGTGCCTCCCCCTGCCGAGGCCAGCAGTGTTTGTCTCCTGGGTCTTGAGACATGCCTGGGCCATTACTCCGCCTTTAGGAAGCCAAGGGGGTTTAAGTGACTTTTAAGACACAATGGCGGGGCTGGCGCCGCGGCTCACTAGGCTAATCCTCCACCTTGCGGCGCCGGCACACCGGGTTCTAGTCCCGGTCGGGGCGCCGGATTCTGTCCCGGTTGCCCCTCTTCCAGGACAGCTCTCTGCTGTGGCCAGGGAATGCAGTGGAGGATGGCCCAAGTGCTTGGGCCCTGCACCCCATGGGAGACCAGGATAAGTACCTGGCTCCTGCCATCAGATCAGCGCGATGCACCGGCCGCAGCGGCCATTAGAGGGTGAACCAAAGGCAAAAGGAAGACCTTTCTCTCTGTCTCTCTCTCTCTCACTGTCCACTCTGCCTGTCAAAAAAAAAAAAAAAAAAGACACAATGGCAGCATTCAGAAAACGTTCCACCGACTCCCAATCTAAAGCCAACTTCTATCTGGCCGTGGGATGCCGGCACGCGGGTGGTGACAGTCTTTCCTACACTTTTCAGTGCAGCGTCCATCCCATGGGCTGAGAATGTGTCAGTGGAAAATTCCCTTCTCGATAATCCCAGCCTTCACACTTCCCGGGGACGGCTCCGGATATGTTGATAGCGATCCGTGATCTAGCCAGAAACAAGTTCTCTCCCTGGGCGTCAAGTGCTGGGGCTTCCCGGTGGGACTTGTGCACGCATGTTTCCAAGCTCTGCAGAGAGCAGGGACCACAGTGGTGCCCGTAGCTTGTGTGCAGCTTAGCTCTGAGAAATGGGAGCAGGGATGGGGGAGCGAGGGTCGGGGCGAGGAGCGTATGAGAAACTCTGCGTCCTCTCCACTCTTTCAGGATTGACCGGAAAAAGGACAAGACAGAAAGGAAAATTTTGGATAGTCAAGAACGGGCCTTCTGGGATGTCCACAGGCCGGTGGTAAGACAGCACTCCTTGCTTCTCTAGGCTTACGGGGTGGTTTTTAGTTTTTGGTTTTTGGCTTTTGGTTTTTGTTTGTTTTTGCTTTTTGCTCACTGTGTTTTCAGTTTACACAGGTTGATGGAGAGGGTGGTGTTTCTGAACATACAAATGTACACTGTCTAGTGACCAAAGCAGAGTGCTGAGACTACCTGGCAGCTCAGCCAAGTATCAGCTTCCTCTAGTGAGACCATGCAAAGTGCTTTCCGGTTATTTTGGCGTAGATAATGCAATGTTGTTCACTCAGAGGTTCTGCTGGTGGGTTTCAATTTTCCCTTTGCCCTCTTGCAAGAAGAGGCTGCCTTTAACCACCAGGTGTCTCCTTCTCAAGAAAATCCTCAGGCTTCGTGGGCTGCGTCTTTCCGTTCACTCACGTGGCCTCAGCGGGTTTCTGGACTGCATGTCACCTGTTAAAAACGTGAAGCAAAGAACTGGGACGGAGACGCTGTGGGGTTTGGGAGCCCTGGAGTTTACGTTCCCAAAATGCACTTTCCACTCCGGCTCTCATTCACCCTAGATCATGAAATACTCAATTCTTACTCAGATGCAGTTGGTTCTGGCTGTTCGTGGCAGCTCTGTTAAGTCTGAACGCTGAGTTCCTGAGTACTGACGCTGTGCATGGAGGGAAGCTGGGGGCTATGAGCCTCCGGTCACAACATTTCTGACAACCCATCAATATATAACCTTGTTCAGTGTATGTTTCTATGTAGAGACACCTCATGAAATACACAAATGGGCTTCAAAAAGTCCGTGGAAATATTTTGAAGAAACTGCATGAATTTCAAAAATGTTTGTACCAAAATAAACTTGCCTTTTAATTCCTTGTTTCTCCAAGGAAACTTTAAAACAAAGAAACAAACGAAAAACTGCTTTGCTTATTTGAGAGAAAGAGAGGGAGAGAACTCTCCATCTACTTGGTCACTTTCCCAAGGCTCCTCACGGCCAGGACTGAGCCCAGCAGAAGCCCCGAGCTGGGAATCAACCCAGATCTCCTGCGTGGGAGGAGGACACGCAAGTGCTTGGGCATCACCAGCCGGCTCCCAGCTCTGCAGCAGCAGGAAGCTGGAGCCGGGAGCCAGAGGCAGGTGTTGAACCCTGGTGCCCTGCTGGGGACCGTGGGCATGTTAGTGGCTCAACGTCCACTGCTCGCAGACTTTCTCACGTGCTATTAGGTCATCAGTGCTGCACTCCCCAGCAGTCACGCAGAGCTCCTACCAGAATGAAGCCTTCGCAGCCTGCGTTTGCTCTGTACAGCAGCTGCACGTAGGGCCAGCACTTCAGCCCTGCTCTTGGGGGCCGTTGTAAACAGTAGGTTCACCAACAGAAGGCACAGAAGTGCAGAGAGCATGGCAGGCAACCAGGCCTACCTAGACTGCTTTGCAGCATGCAGCCTGCAACAAGAAGACCAAGCCTTGTGCAACCTCAGCTGGGAGCGCAGACAGGGGGGCCGCCCCGTGCAGGTGCTCAGTGGAGCACCACTGAGTACCGATGTGCGAGTCACAAACACATTTTTGCAACTGAACAGATTCGCAAGTACAAAATCTATAAAGAGGCTCCACTGTATTTCTAATTTCACATGATTTAAATCTTGCATCTCATGAAATGAAATTAAAGAAACTATTTTAGCCTTCCTAAAAACTGATTAAAAGTAAAGGCAAAAAAAAGGGTCTTTTCAGATATTTGTATATGTGAAATAGCAAAGGCTGTGGCCAAAGCAGTCTTGCCACTTGAGTAAGTTTGCTGTTAACTGTGCAGTCCAGGGCTGGCACTGTGGCACAGCAGGTTAAGTTGCCACCTGCTGTGCCCACATCCCATATGAGCACCAGTTGAAGTCCCAGCTGTTCTGCTTCTGGTCCAGCTCCCTGCCACCCATCTGGGAGACCCAGATAGAGTTCAGGCTCCTGGCTTTGGCCTGGCCCAACCGTGGCTGTTGTGGCCATTTGGGGAATGAACCAATGGATAGAAGATCTCTCTCTTTCTCTCTCCTTCCCTCCCCCTCTCCTCCCTCCCTTTCTCTCTTTCCTTCTCTCTCTCTCAACTTTCAAATAAATAAAGCTTTAAAAAAAAACCTATGCACTCTGCCCTGTACGTATCATCCTTAGATATTATCAGGTAAGTTTTTATATTCTATAGCAGAACTCCATGTTGGAACACATACATGGTGGCAAACTGGGCCAGAGCCTGCTTTGTCTGTAATGAACAAGATAAAGGTGGATTCTGGTGGTGTTGCAGAGCCGAGCTGGAAGAGTAATTTTCCCACAGTAATTCGTGTGATTCTTCTCCTCAGCCAGGCTGTGTGAACACAACAGAAATGGATATCAGGAAATGTCGACGTCTGAAGAACCCGCAGAAGGTTAAAAAGGTTTGTGAGTTAACCTGGATAAGGAGCTCTTCCTGGGAACAGCCCTTTCATTTCTGGTGCTGTTCAAACAGTAATACTGTTCGTTCCACTGCCGTATTTTGTCTTTGGAAACCATTCCATTTATCGTACAAACATTGACAGAGCGGCTGGGGTGTGCTTGGCATAGTGCATGCTGTTGAGATGCAGCTGGGAGCTCTTCCCTGAGCCTATCAGGAATGAAACAAGCCCACAGGCTGCAGGGCCATAAATGCTACATGAAAGGTAGCATTGGGCTGGCGCCGCGACTCACTAGGCTAATCCTCTGCCTGTGGCGCTGGCACACCGGGTTCTAGTCCCGGTCGGGGCACTGGATTCTGTCCCGGTTGCCCCTCTTCCAGGCCAGCTCTCTGCTGTGGCCAGGGAGTGCAGTGGAGGATGGCCCAAGTCCTTGGGCCCTGCACCCCATGGGAGACCAGGAGAAGCACCTGGCTCCTGCCATCGGATCAGCGCGGCGCACCGGCCGCAGCACGCCAGCCTCGTGTGGTCATTGGAGGGTGAACCAAAGGCAAAAGGAAGACTTTTCTCTCTGTCTCTCTCTCTCACTGTCCACTCTGCCTGTCAAAAAAAAAAAGGTAGCATTGGATGGTTCAGCAGCAGCCACCACGGGCAGCTGAGCCTGCTGGGGTCTTCCCAAGGGCTTCCTGGAAGTAGGTTCATGTATGCAGAAGCCTAAGTGGCTGCTGGTCCTGGGGGGGGGGGGGGGGGGGCAGGGAAAAAAAAAAACTTAATGGAGCAAAAACTTGGGGGGGGTCCAAAATGAGTCTTAGGGGCAAGTGGCTGCCTTTCAGTTGGAAGAGGTTGTCCATACTCAGATTGCCATCTCGCCCCATGGTCACATGTGCTCCCTCAACTGAAAGGGTACTGGCCACAGCATACCCGTGAATACCACCTCCAGACCTCATCCCTACATCCCCACCCTCACCACAGCACCAAGGACGCACTGTGGGAGAACATGGCTGTCCTCCATGATGTTACCAAAGGCTAAGATGGGTCCCCAAACACCCCTGTTTCTTACAATGACCAGTCTCCTCTTTCTCCCTCTCCCATAGTTGCATACACTTATGCACACACATGCACTCACACACAGGTGCACTTCAGGAAGTTCATGGAGGGTTCATGGAGGGTGGGCGTTTGTGCCTCCGTGGCTTGCGCCTCTGCTTGGGATACCCGCATCGCAGATTAGAGTGCCTAGTTTGCGCCCTGCCTGCTCTGCACTTCCCACCCAGCTTTGTGCTAATGCTCTTGGAACAGCCAATGATGACCCAAGTACTTGAGTTCCTGCCACCCATGTGGGAGACATGGATGGAGTTCCTGACTCCTGGTTTCGGTCTGGCCCAGCCCAGGATTTTGCAAGCATTTGGGGAATGAACCTATGGATGGATGATATCTCTGTGTGTCTGTCTCCCTGGCTTTCTGTCACTCTGCCTTTCAACTAAACAAATACATCATTTCTTTAAAGAGTCCATAGTAAAACAGAATTTAAAAATAAGTTTATTTTGGTGCAAAAAGCTTTGAAATCTATGCAAATGCATCAGGTCTTCAAAAAAATCCATGAAAGTTCATGATATAAAAAAGCTAGACATGGATTTCCAAAAATCCACCAAAATAAGCTTACTTTTTACTTCCACTTTCTGAAGTATTCAAGCATGAGAGAGACATGAAATATATGTATTGCGTGTCTGTAAGCTCCTTAAATCTGCTTACACATTTAGTTCTTTGCTGAGATAGCGATAGTCCCTGTGTGACACTTTATTAATATTGAAGCATCTTTATTTAGTCTCTAAGGCCCCTTATCCTAATATTCCAGAATTTCATGAAGTCATATCCACATAATCAAAGCATTTCCTGATTTTATAGATTTTTAGCTACACATCACACACCCTTGGGGGACTTGTTCTTTTCTTAAAGCAAAGACGGTCCAGGAAGTCAGAAATCGCTTTAAAAGTCGCCACACCCGTGGACAGGTGGCGCCACTGAGGACAGAAAGGGGAACCTGAGCCCCTGCCCTTTGGATTTCCGCCCGATGGGCGTGTCCTCTGCTGAGCAACCGGAAATCTGGACGGGCCCTTCTGTGGCTAATGTGCGGCAGCTGTTCTTGGACGCTGTTTTGCCTTAGACTCATGCAGGGCATGTGAGAAAAGTGGGATTTCCCCAACCCACCTGCAAGACTATGGGGCTTAGCAGTGTGCAGGTGCCCCTGGTGATTCTCTGCAGGTGGTCTATGGGGCACATTTGGAGCAACACTGACAAAGGAGGGCTCTTCACTGCATCGGTGGAAAACGTGCATAAAGAAAAGACTATGCATGGACGTCAAGGTCTTTTGCACCAAAAGAAACTCATCTTTGAACTCCATTTATCCGCCAACTTCTTGAAGTGTCGTCATACAAGGATACCATTTTCAGCTTAGGAAAAGAAAAATTGTTTTAAAAACTTTTCCTCATTTATTTATTTGAGAGGTAGAGAGAAAGAAATAGAGGCAGCCCTCAAATACCGTTTCACTCCCCGAATGCCTGCCATAGCTAAGCTGGAGCCAGGAATGGGCACTTAACCCAGGTCCCCCGTGGGAGTGGGGAAGCCCAGTTACTTGAGCCATCAGCTGCCACCTGCCGGGGTCTGCATTGGCAGGAAGCTGGGACTGGCAGCCAGAGGTGGGAATGGAACCCAGGGACTCCACGATGGGACACGAGTGTGTTAACAGCAAGGCTACACGTCCAGCCCGAGGACCGATTTTCTGACAGCCATAACCCAAAGATGGGATGAGAGGGCTTGGGAGGCAGGGGTCCAGCTGCTGGAGAAATTCCCCCAAAGATGAGTCTCTTTCCATGTGTAGTTACAGAGGGTGATGACCGGGGTGACTGCCCGGCCGGCTGTCCCCTCAGCCCCCTCTACCTCTTGAGCGCGGGCACGGATAATTCTCTGTTTTCGCTTCTTCTCCAGTCAGTGTACGGTGTGACGGAAGAGTCCCAGTCCCAGAGCCCCGTGCACATACCCAGCCAGCCAATCAGGAAGACTACGAAAGATGACATCCGGAAACAGGTGAGTGAATTCACGGCTGCACTCCCCAGAGGAGACGTGGCCGGTTTAAGGAAAACAAGAAAACCCTCACAATGGGGTGGGTGGGCTGGGTGGGCTCTGAGTTCCTGGAAGCCACAGTAGAACCCCGCCGGGGGCCACTGAGCCTGTGAGTGCTGTGTACGAACTGCTCGTGGAGGCTGGGAGGGAGATGTCTCTACACTTCGCCCAGCAGTTTCTGGAGAAAGACAACACGAGCTATTCCAGGGCCTCGGGTTTCCCCATAGGTGGGTTCCCACTGACTCCTGTGTGCTCATGGCACAGAATTCCTAAACATTTAAGGCACGTCTGGAGGATTGCTGTGATTCACAGGGGACCTTGAAGGAGAGAGGGAGCCCCCTACTCCCAAAGCCATTGCAGTTTTATTTGGTTGGGTGTTGGGATCTTTCTTGATGAGCGCTGCAAATCAACAGACAATGGCTCACTGCCCCTGTCTGCTGTGGGGTCTGCTGCTAATGGGGCAGCATCAGGGCCTACTGGCATCTGAGAGGTGGGAAAATCCAAAGGGCTAAACGTCTGGGCACCTGCCTTCCTGAGTTTGCTATTGAGTGGGGAAAAGGACACACGGATAAAAATCACCGTGGGATGATTCCAGCTGAGAATACGAGGCACGTGGTGTGATGTCCCCGTGAGCTGTGGGCTGAGGGGAAGTTCCCAGGCCTCAGTTGAGAACCGTTATTCTTCAGTACTTGCATTTCCCGTGTTCTTTGTAAAATAGATACTGCTGTTGGGTTTTGGCAATCAAGACTTAAATTGTAACACGGTGCAGGAGACGCTGTGACTCAGGTGCAGGTGCAGAGTATAAATCTTAAGTGTGGCAAGAATTTCCCAAAGGGCAAATTGGCTGCTGGTGCGCACAGCGGAAGGGTTGGCAGAGGCCGAGCCCGAGGGGGTTGGGCTCTTGGTGGAAATATGGAATGTGGGTTCAAAGGAAGAAGGGAGTGATGGAATTCTTCCTGGACCCTAACAGCCCCTTTCCCTCTCCCCCCAGATCACATTTTTGAACGCACAGATCGACAGGCATTGTTTGAAAATGTCCAAGGTGGCTGAGAGGTAGGTTTCCACTCGGTATTACTGTTTTCTTCCTGTTGAACAAGGGTGAGATGCTACCGGGCTTTGGTGAACCAGTGAGTCCAACTGCAAGGGTCAGACTGGAGCTGCTCCTCTCATGGATGTGAAAAAGCCCCAAGGCTCCACGGAAGTAGACCTAGCCCCTGTGAGCCAAGGCAAGAGAAGTCCTGCTGCACCTAGAGAGGGGACCGCAGGACCCTGTCACTCAAAGAATGTCCTTTGCCTGCAGCCTCTTGGTGAATTCAGATGGAGTTGCTCCCTTTCAGCTATAAAGCGCCCCAATTCCCTTTACAGGGAGAGAGAGGAGCTGTGTGTGTGCATTGAGGTGCTGAGCGGGTACGCAGGAGGGGTCTGGATGAGCAGCTGCTGATGGAGCGCTGAACTGCACCGAATCAACTGTAAAGGAAATATTCGGCCCCTCCAGCCGGGCTTCCCCGAGCGTTCCGCCCACAGTCTGCTCAGAGCCGGCTCCACTCTGTTAACTCGTGGGAGATTCGATTTTATCAAGGAAATGGTCTGCTTTTGAGCTCTCTGGCATGGGGGAGACCTCACCTGGGGAGTCTGTATGGAATAAATCTCATCAGGCTGCCCAGAACTGAACATTTGTTCGTCCATATGTTGCTGCTAATGCGATGACCAATTTCTGAGGGAATCAAAGGCTTAAGTCGGTCTTAATATTTATTGGATGTCAGATGACCTGAGTCCTTAAAGCCCAGCTCGTCCGGGGGCCTGGCTGTGTGATCCACCCCGAATCTTGTCCCTGCTGGTCCCTGGATTGATCCACATCTCCCTTCTAGATCAGATCATCACAAATGGAAACTAAGAAAATCCCAGCTCCAAATCATAGTCTGAGCTGACACTCTGCCTGCAGGCTATCTAGAGATGTCCCCGGACAGGAGCTCATGTGTTTGGTGGCGTTGTTTACCTGTTACCCCGGCTCACAACAGGGCTTTGTTAACGCTCTGGACCAGATGATTGCTTGTTGTGTTGATAGTGTTCTGCGTATTATAAGAGATTTAGCAGCGCCCCGATCTCTACCCACCAGTCGGTCACCAGTCCCCTCCCCTGCACTGTGGCAACCAAAGTGTCTCCAGACGTTGCCAGTGTCGAGGGGTCAAGAGGGGAAAAGCGCCCCCATGAGAATCACTGCCCTTCCTCGTTTCCCTCTGCCCATGTGCCGGGAGATTGCCCGTGGCAGGAGCTCCACTCTTAGATCCCGATTGTTCTGGAATCACAGCGTCCACTAAGTGCAGGCTGCAGAGCCGCCTCCTTCACACTCAAAATGGGGGGCCTCTGGCCGCAGCGCCGGGCTCCAGAGATGCGTTGCAGGGTTCCCTGGGGCAGTCTGCCACAGCTGTGAGTGCACGTGAGATAGCTCAGCTGGGACCTCCACTCCCCGGGCCCAGCGCTGTGGCCATCGCGGGACTCCTTTCCCTGTGAAGTGGGGACGAGAGTGGCTGTCCCCGTGCCCACTGACAGTTGCTGCACTTCAGGGTGGCACTAGGGGACTTCAAAAAGTTCATGGAAATTGCAGTTAAAGGGTAAGTTTATTTTGGTGCAAAAACATTGTGAAATCCATGCATGGTGTTTTCATTGTACGTATTTTCCACAAGCTTTTTGGAAGACTCCTGGTGGGCATGGATTTCAGCAATGTTTTGCTCTGACATAAATTTATCTTTTAATTCAATTTCCAGAAACTTTTTGAAGGACCCTCGTCCATGGGAGCACTTTTCCTTGGGTGCAATACCTAAGATCTAGTGGTGGTTCTTCTTTTTTTTTTTTTTTTTTAAGATTTATTTTATTTGAAAGGCAGAGTGACAGAAAGAGAGGCAGAAACAGAGATATCTCTTCCATCTGGTTCACTCCCCAAAATGACCACAGTGGCTGGGGCTGGGCAAGTCCAATCTAGGGGCCTGGAACTCCACCCAGGTCTCCCATATGGGTGGCAGGGGCCCAAGCACTTGGGATTTGCCTGCTTTTCCAGGAACATTAGGCGGGAGCTGGATCAGAAATGGAGCAGCGGGACTTGAACCAGCACTTGTACGGGAGGTTTGCATTGCAGGCGGTAGCTTAACCTGCTGTGCCACAGCGCCAGCCCCAGATCCACTGGTTCTGGGCACAGTGATCCAGGCAAGGAAGGGAAGTGCCAACAGGAATTGCTGCGCCTCAGACACAGGGATGCTGACTCTCGGATCCAGGTAGATCCGGGGAACCTGCCTCCTGGGTAACCTGCACGGGGCCGGGCTGATCGCTGAGGTTGGGGTACAGTTATTGCCTGCTCCTGACAGCTCCTATCAGAAATGACACCCAGCTTCATCCTGTCTTTGGAGTGTGGAGAAGGAGCCTGACAGTAGCAAGAGGAGGGCAGACGGTGTGCAGGTGTGCAGGTGTGCAGGTGCGCTGAGGCGGGTCAGGGAGAAAGCCCAGGAGGGCCGGGGAGCCTGGCACGTCCTATTGTTTGTTTGTTTACTACATGCCGGGGAGGGACCCAGCTGCTCCCCCTAATTATGCTCCACAGCCTGTTCTCCTGGAAGGGATTACCCCAGCCCCCCGCCCCCCACCCCCACTAGAGGCTTTCAGGAATCTCCCCACCCAGCAGGGCTCAGATTTTATTCCCAACAGCAATACCTGGCCCCTTTTCAGTGTGACACAAGGGTCTCTCATCAGAGCCCCAGATAGGGAGGAGGAGGGAACTGAGACGAGTGTTAGCGGGAGATAAAGCAGCCTGGAGCCTGGCCTGTGGCTGGCTGTGCTGGTGCTGGGGCCAGGGAGGTGGCGCTGGCAGCTGGCCAGGGGGTGAAAGCCGAGCTCCCTCAGGTGGGCACACACATCCCCAGCCCGGATCTAGTTTCCTGGGCCTGCTGCAGGTGATAAGTGGTAATGAGTCAGATCACAGCCCCCTGAGGAAAAGTCCCCATCCTTTTCCACTTAGTTCTCCTGCGAGTTGACAGTTAAGGGAGTGGCAGGAGGGCTGGTGACAGCGAAGGTGGGTTCTGGGAAGGGACGAGTCAGGGTGCCGGGCCCAGCAGGGAGTGATCCGGAAGCTTTGCACCTGGAAGAGGCTGGACAAACGGAGTCCAGGGAGGGTCTGGAGCCAACCGCGGGAGGTTGAAACCTGCCTCTACTGTCCCCTCCCCCCTGTTTTCTAACTGACAAAGTGAGTCGCCTCCTCTGCCAATGCCTGTTTCCACTTGAACTTGTTCCACACAGAACTTGACCTGCAGGGTCAGTGAGACAATGCACGGCAAGACACACGATGGATGTGAGCGCTGTAATTTTCAGTGAGGTGCAGGGAACAGAATTTGGGTGCACGAGATAAAGTGCTGGGAGGAACAGAGGAAAGACAGGCCAAGGTGGGGCGGGTGGCCCCAAAGATGGCAATTCTGTGTCGAGGCCCTTTTCCACCCCTCTCTTCTCAGTCTCCTACCCCAGGAGCCCTGCAGGCTGCCCTGTGGTCTCCCCCCATCTGCCTCAATCAGCCGTGAATCTCGTGCCATTGGGAAGAGAGAGATCATAGATGAGGAGCCTGGCTCCTCTGCACAGACTTTCCCATCACATCCCAGCTTTAGATATTCTGTCCCCTGTCCCAGGAGTGCTTACGTGTCCCTGAAATGCCAGCCTGACGACAACCAAGCTGCATTTCCTAGGCTCTTGCCTTTTGCTCTCAGTAGAGTACAAAAGTCTGTCCGAGCGCTTCCCAGCTTCTGTGGTCCCTGCACACACAGGTGGCACCTTGTGCTTCCTATGTGAACTGTTTCAAATGAGTCATTCTGCAGTGTAAGCCAGGCCCTCGTCTGCTTGAAGAACGGACCCTGTGTTTCAGTTTGTTTTTCTGGCTGACTCAGAGTCAGTATCCTTAGACAGCAGGTACTTCAAAAGGGTCATGGAAAATGAATTGAAAGATTATTTGGAAGTGAAGTAATTTTTTTAAATCCACGTGTGAATTTTTCCTAATATTCATTTTTCATGAACCTTTTGGAGATTGTCCATACTATGTTTCCAAGTCTATCCATGATCAGGGTTTTCTTTTAAAAAAAAAAGATTTATGTATTTGTTTTGCAAGAGGGAGTTACAGAGAAAGAAGGAGAAACAGGGGGAGAGAGAGAGAGAGAGATCTTCTATCTACTGATTTACTCCCTAAATGGCCACAACGGCCAGCACCGGGCCAGGCCAAAGCCAGGAGCTTCATCTGGGTCTCATACATGAGTAGCAGAGGCCCAAGCACTCGGGTCATCTTCTGCTGCTTGTCCCAGGCCATTAGCAGGGAGCTGGATCAGATGTGGAGCAGCCAGGACTTGAACTGGCGCCCATTAGGAGTGCCGGCATCACAGGCAGCAGCTTTACCGGCCCTTAGGGTCTTCCAAGACACCACAAATTGCTTCCCAACCCTCAATGACCCAAGGCTACTAGGCTCTTCCAGTCACTGTTTGTATGTTTTTATTGACTGCTCAGTGGCATCTCTTGTTCCCATCAACATGCTTATCGCTAGTAGCTCTTCCTCTGTCCTAACCAACCCGCATTTCCAATCTGCAGCAGACCAGGTGTATCAGGTAGCTATTGCGGAATAACAAGCCACCCCAAAACTGAGCGGCTTAGCACTACAAATGTCTGTCCACGGCCCATGTATCTCTGTGCCAGTCGGCCCCACTGGGCTCAGCCAGTGTCCATGTGCAGCTGTGGACAGGGCGGGCAGCCCTGCTGACCTCAGCGGCCCTCCTTCTCGTGTTTGGTGGCTGCAGATTCAGGGTGGCCTTAGCCAGGACAGTGGAACTCTGCTTCATGTGGCCCCACGGACAGCAGGCTGGTTTGACCTGTTCACATGGCGATAGTGGGGTTGAGAAAGAGAGACCGAGACAGAAAGCGAGCACAGGAGCATCCCAAACCTCCTGAGGCTTGGAGCTGACACTCCATCACCTATGCTGCATTTTATTAGGTAAAGCACGTCTCAAGCCCAGACTGGATTCAAAGGCGAGGGAGGGAAA